GTGTGTGTGTGTGTGTGTGTGTGTGTGTGTGTGCGTGTGTGCGTGTGTGTGTGTGTGAAATGCAAAGTATATTAGGAGCAAATCTCTTAGAGAAGACAATACTGTAGATAATTTTGGCATTGTTTTTCTTATCTCCAAAAATCACAAAGACAACAAAATCTAAGATCAGCTGATTTTAGAAACTATAGTCAAAACTGCTAAAAAAGAATAGAATAAAAGATAGCAAATAAAATACATATGTGTGAAAAAGAAATCAATGTGTGTTCAAAAGTAGACATGGCCTATAGGTTTGAAAGAGTTCTTTAGCCCCTCCGTGGGCTTGTATTTGCTTAGCTCTTTCTTGTTCTCTGAGACAAACACATAGAAATTCAAAATAAAGAGGATTTTTAAAGGCTATAATGACAACTTTTCATCCCCACAGATGTTAATAAATGTAAAAACCTGTGAGCTTGATGAATAAATATGTGAAAGGCTGTTTATGACAGGTTGTTGGGGATTTAATGGCATACAGGTGCTGTACTCACCTCTCTCTGTGCTCTCTGGGGTCACAGAGGATCTGGCCAGTAACTGAGTTTGCAAGTTCTCAATCTCAGCRTTCTTATTGAGCAGAAGTTGCTGTAGACTGCTGATCTCTGTCTGTGTGACACACAATTAGGAATCAAAATAACTTACAGTTCTGTTTTTTTTTTACCAAACATTCACCCATGCATTACCAAAGAAGACATACATGCATTTAAAAGTTTTCTATTTTTTTGTCTGCATGTTTGGTACAGATTTTTTTTCACCACGTTCTGCATATAAATCAACCACAGCTAAGAATGGAAAGTTTTCTTCCCTGATTTTCACAGGACCAAACTTTAGGTCATTGCTCTCTGGAGTTTGTTTTGAATGAGGTTACTGGAAGACATTGTTGGAAATAAATCTTGAGATTGACCTATTTTATGTATTTATTTATTTATTGCAAGTGAATTTTATTCTTGCGTATGCATGGATTCCTGTGTAGTGTGCATACTGTGTTGAATAAGATCTACTTTAAACGACACTCAGGATTTGGGAACACATGAAGCTCATTAGTGAGGATTTGAAACTCGTTTTTCTTTCTTTCTATGTCGGTGTTTAAAAGCTTAAAAAACATGTCTACCTTTGTTCTATTTATATGCAGGGCCAGGTTTAAATGGGTTTCTCTTCAGACTGTGATCACACACATTAAGCAGACATTTGATTTTAGATCTATGCTGTTTTACAGATATCATGAATAGCATGAGTATTATGTTTAGGACTAGGTGGACACTRCTGGCAAAAATATGTAATGAAATTATCGTTACTGCAGCAAGTGATGCCTGTAAACCTGCATATGATAAAATTAAATTGAATGGTTCAGCTCTTCAGTTCTGTGGAATGGATTGACAAGCTAACAGCTAGTTTGAGTGTGTGTGATCATTTTATTTAAACACACGTAAAATGCTAAATGCTCTTCAATTGTGTCAGTCCATTCAGAGGSTTTAATAAAAAAGCTACCATTAAACTATTAAATCTATTTCTTTCATACTTTGAATTGTAAATTAACCATAATCTTTCTAAAAATAATACAAAAATCTGAACATTATGAAATCATGCAAAACTGAAGATCTCATTTAACTGGTTGGAGGATCAGATTAGACAACAATTATAAAAAGCTGAATAGATAATTATTGGTTAAATTTAGACACTGGTAAGAGATTATAAAGCCTACAAACCATAAAGAAAATATTTTACCTTGGTTGCTTTGAGTTTCTTTTCATATTGTTGCTTTAGATCCTCCAGATGCTGAACTTTGTCCTTTAGAATCTGAAGTTCTTTAAGTAAAATCTGAAGCAGAAAGTATTAGACATTTGGATTAGTTTTACATCCAACAAAAGTCACAAATGTGCTCATTATTCTTTCACACAACACATAATCCTAGCTCTGTTGTTAAAGGTTTGCTTTGTGCCACTCAGGGGTTTGTATAACATGAATAATTGCAGTAATTACGTGTGTACAGTAAAAGAAAGTATTGTTTAGGATATAAGATTTAATTTGCTTGTGAAGCTAAAAGAGACAGACAATACATGCTCTGCACACCATTAGAAGCCATGCAGGCAAAYTATTCCTACACTTTCTCCTCCGCAGTGGCACCGGTGCTCTGAGCTACCCTCAGTCAGGTTGTGAGTGTTCCCAACAGGTCTGCCAGAATCCTCCTCTAGTTCCTGCATCGCCTCTGAGCGTCCTTCCCAGGGCAACCCAGGGTGTTTACTCTGTCCTTCATTGGATTCAGAGGGGCACACCATTGGAAACTTGCTGTCAGTCAGGAACTCGAAGGCCTTTTTCTCCTGGATCTTGCTATTGATCTCCTTCTGAAACTGACACATCTGCTCCTGCAGCTCACTAATGAAATTCACTACAGTCTGGCAGATACAGCGGGGGAGAAAAGAAAAATAAATATAAAAAAAACTTAGAAAGCAGAGAAAAATTGTGTGCAGAATTTGTCAATGTTTGTGTGTGCAAAAAACAAAATTCTTGTTTGTATCAAATATGCAAAGCAATAATTTTTGCATATCTGATACAAACAAAAATGTTTGTTATCACACACAAGAAGCAGCCTCTTAGTTTGCCTGTAAGATGTAGTCAACACCAAAATGTGCACCAGCAGCAGCTGGGTTATGTTTGAGTGTGGATAGAGAAMGTTCCAGTTGGGGGTCCGGTACAGCGGATATGACAGATGATATGAGTGCCTCCATGGCTAATTTTAAACACAAGCTTACTGACTCTTAAGCTCTCTGCATGTACTGTGTATATGTGTGTGTGTGAGGACATGTTTGTGTAGTAGATGCAGCACGTGGGTTACCAGTACAGTGATAAAAAACAGAATGTGTTCTTTGCTCTCTTCAAGTCAAAACAACTGTTAAAAGCTGGGTTTGTAAAAACAGAAAGAAGAAATAATGGAAAAACACAAAAGGAATGGCTTTTCTTAGAGTTAGAAATACACGTCTTCATGAAATTCAATTATTTTTAAAGTAATTTAAAAACATTAGGATGCTAAGTTTGAGGAAGGTGAGTTTCTTTTTAAGAAGGACCCACTTTTACCTTCCACCAAAAACAAAATTTTGTGGACCAGTGCCTACACACATGCTCAGATTTGGCCTGCCATCCATCACACAGCCCCAGTAAGCCTGAACTGTTTTTAACTGAGGACAAAAAGACCCATTGAGCAGCACTGTTTTGACAGTAACTGTTAGAATATCCTGTCTGGTAAAATTTCTGCTTTCCTACTTCCAAGAACCCACACGGTCACCAAATGTGCAGGAAGTCGGCTGGTAACCTAGCCATTAGTCTTAAGCAAATACATGACCCAGTTAAAGTGACAAAAACATTTAAATCCCTTGGAGTAGACTTCCAGTTTCAGCAAAACTGGGTTTTAGAGGAATGTTTCCTTCCATTCATCCAACAAATGTTAATGGTCCTCCACAAAATCAGCAGCTGACTGCTTTGCTGGCTCTATTAGAACACAGAGCAGATTACTGTGAGCACCTTAGCTGTTACAACTTAACTTTTCCTGGAAGTAGGTCAAAAACGATGCTCCTTAGACTAATTGTTCCTCAGTGAAATAAACAGGAACATTACTGTGAAACTAAAAAAAACCTCTTTGCTCAACCAACTGCCAGGAATCAAAATGAACAAGTCATACGAGTCCTACTTTTACCCACACTGACAATTGATTGAAACGTCATACTTTAATTGGTGAAAATAAACAATTCAAGCATGATGTGACGTAAGGATTAGTCATAATTGACTCATTGAGAGGTCCTACCTCTGCTTTGTGCTGCCTCTCCACTCCATGGCCCTGCTTTCCCTCCATGTCTGACAGCTTCAGTTTCAAGTAAGAGACCTCCCCCATAAGACTCAGCTTCTGTTTCTCCAGTGACGTCCTATACAGGAGCTCCTGTCATCGCAAAACACACAAGAAACACAATCAGGTGCACAGATATACATTATTCCCTCAATTATGCACAGTACTTACTCTACAAAGACGACATAAAGTGTGAGACAGAGCAAGCTACCAACTCTGCAATGACAGTCCTCTCAGACAAACCACACTGGTTTCAGAAGCTGTTTGCGTGGCTAAATATACACAACCCATGACCACTATTTATAATGTCTATTTCACAGCTCCCTCAAAGTACATAACAGAGCAGGAGGGAGGGGGTGAGACTGAGGGGGAGAAAATAAAGCATGCAAAACATTCGAGAGAACATCAAAATAACTTTGACAGGTGCATTTTCTCTTCTTGTGAAAGTGAATGACAGCCAATCAAACTTGGCGTTGAGGGATACTGTGGCTAAATGGCTCTGTGCAATCTTTCCTGAAAGGCTGTCAACTCCCAAAGCTAAATCCAACCAGCCGACAGATGTATTTCTAATTTGGTTGGTGTCAAAAACAGACGTTGAATCCCTTGAAGTCTAGAAACGAGGATCACACTTCATGTATAGATACAATTTAAATGATTGCTTTTCAAACAAAATAATAAAATAAAAAAACTTATTTTAGAGCACACATGGAAACTATTAGAACTTTGTCACCAGACAGAGATTTACAGCTCAGACTCAAAACCTCATGCTAACCAGATTTAAATAAAATACAGCTTTGGCAGCTTTTGATAATGTACATACTTTCTAAAATGAATGTAAAGATTAGTTAGAAAGTAGTCAAATGAAGCCTTTACAAAGGTTTCAGCAGAAGAATAGAAACTAATACCTGGTTAGTCATCCAGAATCTGTCTACAGCAATTGCCTTTTCCTCATAGAAACAGTGGTGAAAAGTGAGCTGCAGTCTCAGGACATCAAGGTTTCATACGTCCACACAATCTAAAGTCCTTTAACAAAGTGTCTCTGGTAGATGTCAAAACTAAAGGCAACCAAATGCAGACATACACGTCTAACTCCTACAGGAGGACCACTCTTTCTCCCTCCCTTCTCTCCAGCTGTTCCTCCCCTCCTCGTTTGTTCCTTTCCTCCTTTTTCTCAGTTTTCCTTTCCTGTCTCTCTCTTTCTCTTTCTCTCTGGAAGCCTACAATCACAGTTGCTGCAGGTTGGGGGTGTGGTTAACTGCACAGTAAATCTCCTGCCCAGACAGACGAGTTTGGCCCTGCAATAACCAGACATGCACTCAAACTGAGAAACTCCCGGAATGAGTCTGAGCTTCCCAAAGTTTTTTTTTTTTTTTTGTCACGGTAATCCTCGACCTAATTCACTGGAATCTTAGGATGGAAATTCTTTAGAAGAAGCAGAAGTCATTTTAGGCTACATTCTGCAACTTATGGGAAAAAAAACATGGCCCAGGAGAAGAAGTCAAATCTGAAAGGGAGACCATATTTCCCCAAATGGAATTGATTTAGCACTTTTGCATTCTTAAATGTCAGCTCTTTTTTATGAATGTTTGGAAATGTGGATATTTAAATATTTCGGGGTTTTTTGCACACATTCCATGTCAATTTAAAGTCACCTGTTGCAGCATCTCTTCTGTGCAGTTGAGTTTGTGCTGATGTTCCTCCAACGAACTCTCTAAATCATGGATCTTCACCCCTTGAGCCTCCACCTGGTCTGTCAGCACACTTACCTAAGTAATACGAACAAAATTATTTTTTTCTTTATATACAGAGATTAAAAAGTGCTTATAAAGATGAGAAAATAAAGTTGTAGTTGCAGTGCTTGTGTTTCTAATCAAGGTAACTCAAGTCATTACCATCATCTATGTTTGTGTTCAAAGAACTTGATTTTCATAACATTTCTATCTTTGTTGCAGATCATGCAAATGATTCATTAAGGGAAACTAAAAAAGAATGATCCTTTGTGCTCCAGTTGGCACTTGCAACACTTCAGTAATTCTAGCAGTGTCAGCACAATACGTGTTGTTTAATCTAAATCTGCAGCAGATCTTTAAAAACCGCATAWTAGCTGATCACGTGCTGAAAAGCAGGGTTGACGTGCCAACTGGAATACATTTTCCAGAGGAATGCTTTGTTTGAAGTCTGAAAAAAAATACAAATAAAAAAAAAACAGGTTGCCCTCTCACTCACACACCTACGTACACTACATGGAGGCAGCGAGCCTCAACCTGTCTTTGAAGCACTTGTCCAACAGCCCTGAGTGCTACACACACCTACAGATACAAGACAAACACATCAGTCAAAATAAAACCGTCTTCTGTTGTAATAGAACCAAACCCTCTTTCTGTCTGTTGCTTCACCTGGGCAGTGCAACAGAAACACACACTTGCACAACATTTCCAACACAAAACATTTTTGGCCCTTCAGATTCCTATTGTTGTTTCTCTGGAAACCCAGGAGTTCAACAGGATCCCACCTGCAGAACTAGTGACTCTTTGTCTCCCTCCAGACGTGACAGCCGGTCCTGGTACAAGTCGCCGTTACTGTTTAAGCTGAGGTTGTCCTGTGGAAAAGAGGTCACTTGTAAATTTCAGTGTGTATTCAATAGCACAGTTATCTTTTTGTTTACACATAAACATTAAACTTTATTAATGTCTGTGTGCGAGATTTTGGTAAGAGGTTTACAGGTTCTAATCCAGACTTAAAAGTAATGTTCTACTTTTCTTGTCAGCTGATTTGCTAGAGGGAAAAGTGCTGGATAAATTCTGAGCTGAATGTGTACTCYGGAATATCACAGTGTCAGCAAAGTACAAGAGAGCTGCAACCAAGAGAACTGCAATTTCTCAGAGAAGCTTCTTTCGACAGATAGTGAGAAAGTATGTAGCTCAGCTTGTATCTGTTTGGATTGAAGCATTTAACTTTTTTTCTGTCAGTATTTGCCTTATGGTAATGATGGTATACATGCTGGTATTAAATGTATATTTTTCAGTTGTCCGGTACTTTAATAAACACTGGCTTTGACTGACACAAATTAGTCAGAGCACATCTGGTTATTTGAAGTTCCTCCTACCATTTTTTYCAACTTTGTGTTCTCTATTAAGCGCCCTTTAGACATGAAAGAGTTAACAGCCCCCTTCACAAATCCATCCCAGATTTTTGCCATTTTAATAGGTTTCCCTTCTAGATTCTTAGACACAGCATCTTCATTTTGCAGTCAAGACCTTAGTTCTCATGTTTCTAATAAACACCATTCACTAAAATCAGAATTTTAAACAATAATTCTTAACTCTCAGGTATTACACTAAAAAACCTTTCCACCTAACCAAGTTTTAAAATCTTATATCCAGTCAAAAAGTCTTTTTAATCTTGCTTTGAGACTGATTTACTAAACAAGAACTGATTGTGTAAGAATAATAATCTTGTTTTCAGATTATTTGTCTTGTTAGTCTGAAAATTTGACTCTAATAAAGTCAAAAATTTCTGCCAATGGAGTAAGAAAATTTTACTTGGTAAGATTCTTTAAATAAGAAAAAAAATGAGTCAAATCAAGTATTTCAAGAGTCTTACCATGTAAAATTTTCAGACTAATAAGACAAATAATCTTACACATTCTGAAAACAAGATTATTATTCTTACACAATCAGTTCTTGTTTAGTAAATCAGTCTCAAAACAAGATCAAAAAGACTTTTTGGCTGGATATAAGATTTTAAAACTTGGTTAGGTGGACAGTTTTTGCAGTGTAGGCTTACAGTAAAAGTCAGACAATGTGAACAACTCAGTTACTACATTTATTAAGACAATTATCTTGTCCCATTACAAACGAGGTCTTGGTGATCTCATGTATTACAAATCTAAACTTCTGACAAAATCTAAAGCTGGCAGCACGTTGTCACATAAGTGAAATTTATCTAAATTATTGGATGTTTTCTTTAAAATGTGACTATTGTTTAAAACAAAAACAACAACCACAAAAGAAAAAAAATAGCAGATATAATAAAATGTAGAATTAATAAAGTTGTGTTTTAACACAATAAATTGTACTGTACTTGACCAACTGGGCAACTAAGAGCAACACCTGTTTTAGTCAATTCAAGAAAACAAAAGCAAATAAAATTATGCAAAAAAGGCGTATTTGTCAATAAAGTAGAAATGCATAATTAATTATGTTTTTAAAACATTTATGTTATGCAAAATGTGTTTCTTACTTATTGTGAAGCCTCCCTTCATGTGAATAAAGAAATAAATAAATAAATAAACACAAACAAAAAACAAAGCACCTCTGCCTCTAAAGGACCAATTATGGCTACTGTAATTATACTGGGAAAGCATCAAACTGCAGCTGAGGTTCTGTGCAACTCTGGGAAAGTGTGAAAGTATGAAGAGCATGCAAGTGAGATCTGTCTTACCTTCTTGAGCCAGGCAAAATGTTTGTAGAAATCAATATGATGCTCCATGCTGCTGGCCCATTGTAGTCTAGCACGGGCTTTTGTTGTCAAACAGTTTAGTCTGTGCTCTGAGGCACCGTGGGAGATGAAAACACAAATCAMAACAATGGCTTTTAGCTGTTTCTCCTCCGTTTACAAGCTCTCCATACTCCAGAGCATGCAGAGGTTTGCAGAGGGAATGTAGGTCCGTGTGGTTTGGAGTCGAGACTGCCTCAGACTTTTAGACATCCACTGAATAAGTCAAACTATGCCAGTTGGCTGTACTCCCCCCAACCCCCCAACTCCCACCCCCTTTCTTTTTTTCTTTCTTCAAACTATTCCTTACACATTTTTCCTCATATATGCTCATGATGTTGCATAAATCTTTTTTTTTCTCTTTTTCTCCCTGCTTATCATGCAAAACGTTCCATCATTTTTTTTCTATCGGATGCCTTCCTTTCTCCTATCCTTCCTTTTTCTCCAGGCCTCTTCTTGCAGTACCTCTTGGGCAAGCTAATTTTGTGGGGCTTTTTAAACAAGACTAGGAGAGAGGAAACTTTTTTTTCCCTCCACCACATGCTTCTCAGATGTGGCGCAGAGTAAGAAGTCAGTACAGGCAGCACAAGAAGGGGAGGGGGCGGTGGAGGAGAGTGAAAGTGAGGTTAAAGTCGACAGCGTTATATTTTAGAAGAGGCAGAACAGAAGAGGACAAGCACAGTGGTGTACCTCACACAGAGCRCTCAAATATGATGTTTGAAACCAAACAAAAAAAATAATAATGGTGAAAAGGGATTGTGACTGCTTTTACTTTAAACAGCAGCTCTGGATCTCATTACTGGTGCTGTTTATGAGATCTTGCTTCCAGCTCACTTCTCAGCAGACAGGAAAACAGCCCCCCAGATGTTGATGACCAGGATCAAAGACCAAGCCATGCAGAAATTAAAACTCAGGGGCCCAGCAGACTGTGGCAAAATATGTGAAATATCTCAATTCTCTATTCCATATTTATTTATTTATTTATTTATTTATTTTATTTATTTATTGATTGATTGTACTTTGGAAATATAAAATGTATATATGAAACCTACAAATCAGTATAGATGTATTTTACAGTATTTTAATAGTGAACTGGCGCATGAATCCCTCGCATGAACAAAACAACACGTACCTCATTTATTCCCAGCCATTTCAGTATAACGTCCGCTGTCTCAGGGGTGACTTGCTTTCTGAGAGCCCCCTGGTCATCCACGCTGCCCTGGCTTTCCAGCACGACCCTGAGAGCCTCTGTCAGCCTGAAAGCTTCAGCAGCAGGGTCAAGCTGAGGGGGGAGGGGCAGCTGCTGAGTACAAGCTGAAGACTGGTAATCTTGGCCACCTACGTTCTCAAGAGCACTGAACAAACCTGGACCCATTTTACC